TTTCGGAATAACGCGAATGTCGTCAGGCCGAAGAGAGAGCCGTCGTTTGTTTCACGCAGTGAAACGGATATGCAGAATTGCGTAAGAAAGACGATTGGAACGATAACGTTCGACGATAGAAACGGGGCCAAGGATGAGGTATATACGATTACGCGGGTACCTTACAAACAATTAAAGGAGGATCGTTAAGGATCTCACGAGTGAGATTTTTTTACGTTCGTCCTATCAATAAATCTCGTATTATATTTTTGATAATGTAATATATGAGAAACAAATCCCGGGTTTAAGAGTATTCTAAGGGATTTTTGATTATTTCTTTCTTTCTTTCTTTCTTTCTTTCTTTCTTTCTTTCTTTCTATCTTTCTTTCTTTCTTTTTTTTCTTCCTTTTTTTTTTTTTTTTTTTTTTTATAATTAGGATGGCGCCTTTCTTTTTCTTTTTTTCTTAATTTCTTTTTTTTCCTCTTTCTTTCTTCCTTCTTTTTTCTTTATTTTACAATTTCGTCCGTCCTTCGTCCTTGCGTATAAAAAGATTATTCTTAAAAATGTAGAAAAGGAGGGAATTCGAGGGATATGAGAAAGAGATCTTTCTTCGCGAGGAGGATCCGACGATACGACGATGACGAAAGTGAGATTTAGCGAGTAGTAGTAACCCCCTCTTGTTTTTTTCTTCTCTTTTCTATTTTTTTCTTTTTTTTTTTTTTTCTTAAGAGGCGCAACGGTTTCATGCTAATCCTTATCCCTCATCGCCGGTTCCTACTCTCCCTCTTATTTTCAGTCTGGTGTCTCCCCTGCCGTGATATCGATCCTCCTCCTTCTTCGGCACCCTCCTCACCCCCGGACCGACGTTAGCTCGGTTATTCGACCTAGTGTCGACTCATCGTACAAACCAAGACATACGGGTGGATCGGTTAAAAAAAGAAAAAGAAAAAAGAAAACAAAAACAACAAAAAAAAAAGAAAGAAAAGGAAAAAAAAACCAATGGATCTTCTTTTACCCTTACAAAATACAAAATCTTCGGACATTCATGACGGATTAAAAAAAAAGAAAAAGAAATCAAATAAAATAAAAGCGCAAAAGGTGAATCTACCTAATTAGCAATGATCATTTTATTCCAGTTACATATCCTTATTCCTTTCTCGTTTCTAAAGATAAGAACGCGAAGACGATCGATAATACCACACGTAACTGCTGCTTCCTGCTTAATTTCTTTCTTTCGTTTTAATTCTTTGGAAGATGCGATCAAAAATGATCGTTCCCTTTTTGAAATAATTAGATCCATGGAAGAATGATCTCTCGAAAGTGGTTCGATCTACGAAAAAGAAGAAGAAGAAGAAGAAGAGAAGAAGTAGAAGGAAAAGGAGAAGGATAAGAAGAAGAAGATGATGTTGATGATGATGATGATGATGATGATGATGAAGAAGAAGAAGAAGAAGAAGAAGAAGAAGAAGAAGAAGAAGGAAGTTCGAACAGAGAGATTCGAAATTTCTATTATTGCGTTAAAGATGTTCATTTTGTCTAACGGGATTTCTAATCGTTCGGTTCATTCGAAAACGACGAAGCTATAATTAAAAACGGCGAGAAATTTCCCCTTGCAATCGTTTCGATGCTGATTGCGAATGTACAAGCGGAAATGTCGCTTCTTTATTCGCAAAGAAGCGGTCAAAAATGGACCTCTTTCAAAGTCCAAGTAAAAGTGGAAATACGTAGGAACTCAACCCTTTTTTATTATTAATAACAGTTTTGAAATTCAACATGGAATTTATTACTAATGCGACTATGCCCGTATTATATAAAATTATAAATATTATAAATAATTACATAGCTTCGTACCAAGATTCGTTTGGAGAACCATCGAAATTGCAAATCCTTTTCTCTCTCTCTCTCTCTCTCTCTCTCTCTCTTTCTCTCTCGCTCTCTCATTCTCTCAATCTATTTATCTCTCTTTCTCTCTCTCTCTCTCTCTCTCTCTCTCTCTCTCTCTCTCTCTCTCTCTCTCTCTTTCTCTTTCTCACTTTCGAAGATATTACATATCGCTCAAAGAATCGGTCGTAAAAATGTAGCGACTGATCATCGCTTATTATACCGATCGATATACTTATTGTCGGATATTCCTTTCTCTTTAAATCGTTCGTCATATCGTTGATAAAAAGAAAAAGATAGGGGGAAAAAAAAAAATCAGAAGAAAAAGAAGAAAGAAAAAATGCGAACGACAAAGATTCCATCGCGATAATCAGCACCACATACACGATTTTTTTTTTTAACGTTGGTCCCTAATACTTCTACCTTTCTCACTCTCATTCTCTCACTCTCTCTCTCTCTTTTTCTCTCTCATTCTCTTTCTCTCTCTCTCATTCTCTTTCTCTCTCTCTCTCTCTCTCTCTCTCTCTATCTCTTTCTCTTCCTCTTACTCCTCTTCTTTCTTTCCCTTACTTTTCCTCGTTCTCATTTAAAATCAAATCGTTTTTACATCTTATTTTCAGTTTCACGAGGATCGTGAAATGCAGAAGGAAAAACAAGTCAATATTTTATTTTACACCCAACACGTCTTTTTTTTTGTTTCCTTTTCTTTTTTTTTTCCTTTTTTCTCGTTAACCTTTTGTTATTTCGTTTCCTCGTATCATTATTGTTCTCAATTTCTATAGATTAATATAATATGTATGTAATTATTAGTTTCAATCGAAGAACACGTCTCCCTCCGTCATTTTCGTTTCGTCATTTTCTTCTTTCTTTCTTCCTTCTCTCTCTCTCTCTCTCTCTCTCTCTCTCTCTCTCTCTCTCTTTCTCTCTCTCTCTCTCTTCACCTCTCTCTTTCTCTCCTTTTTTATTTTTATTTTTATTTTTTTATTTTGTTAGATTATGTTTCGTGGCCCCAATGTTTTACAAATGAAAAAAGGACTCTAGTGCTGCTTCGCTCGATGTAAATATTCGAAAAAATTGTATCTAACTCGTTTGGCAGAATATTCGACGAGGAAGGAGCTTCCTTTTACTGCCTGAATATGAAACTTCGATTGGGAAAACCTTCGTCCATATTTTCGGCGAACGTAGCCGAGAATATTTCTTTTCTTTATAAATGAACATGGAATTCGTTTTATGCATATACCATTTTCTCTCTCCGTCGCTCGTTTCATTCAATATTATCTTAATCATTTTATTTTCTTTTGCCGTGATCGTTATTTATAAACAATAGTTTTGATTATACGAATCATGAATATTAACTCTTATTTTCTTACTTTCTCTCCCACTCATTCTCTCTCTCTCTCTTTTTCATTCTCTTTCTCTCTCTCTCTCTCTCTCTCTCTCTCTCTCTCTCTCTCTCTTTCTCTCCCTCTCTCATTCTTTCCTTCTTTCTCTCTCATTTCATCTATGGAATGTATAAATATTTGGAAGATTAGTTGTAGCTCAGTTTTTCAATAACAATGAATTACAACCAAAATTTCTTTTTGCAATTAAATTTATTATTGATTCAAAACACAAAAAAAAGAAAAATGAATGCGTTTTGAGAACGTGGAACATTAATAATCTCGAGTAAACAAATTTCGTTGATTTTGTTTTTTTTTTTTTTTTGGAACAAAAAAAGAAAAGCGAAAAGAAAAAGATTAATTAGATATAGTGCTTAAAAGCGTATAGTAATTAGAAACGTACGTTTATATTTCGCGTATTTTTTCTTTTTCGCAAAATTTTTCGAAAGAAACAAAAAACATCGATAATGATGATCGACTCCAACGATATCAAATTGACGACGATCGTGTTGATTGACAACATAGTTGCGTAACAAAAAGAAATGCTTTTTATATAAACTATTTAGATAGTACAAACGAATATTCGTCGTACCAAAAACGAAATCTACCTTGCCTTGATTCAATTGTGTGCAATTTCGATAAGACGATAAAGCGCATTCGATACTAAACTCAATAAATACATCTGATCGGCGAATGTGCTCTATCGCCGATATTTTCCTTCCATTTTCCATTGTTTATCTAGTTTTCCTTTATTTTAAAACTTTTTCTCTCTCTTTCTCTCTCTCTCTCTCTCTCTCTCTCTCTCTCTCTCTCTCTCTCTCTCTCTCTCTCTCTTGCTCTCTTTCGCTCTTTTACTCTGTCTTTCTTTCATTAACTTTCATTCCATTTTTCACATTCATACTTTCCTTTTTACCTTTTTAATATCTCTCATTCCTTATCGTCATTATTAGTTACTATCATCATCGTAAAATGTGTATCTATATCAGATAATCCTTAAATTTACTTAGCTAAATTTTCCAAACTGAGCATCTCGAATTTTTCTTTCTAAGTCGTAGAATTATTTACAATGAAGATTTAAATTGCCACGGATCGTGGCAATGTATGTGTTTAGGAGGGGTTTTCTTCTTTTCCATCCTTTTTTTTTCTTTCGTCCTACCCTTTCCCGTCTCATGATAATAATAATAAAAATAAAAATAAAAATAAAAATAATAATAATAATAATAATAATAATAATAATAATAGTAATAATAATAATAAAAATAAAAATAATATTAATATTAATAATAATAATAATAATAATAATAATAATAATAATAGTAATAAAACGAATAATAATAAGGATAATAATGATGATGCCTTTGCGACGTCGTTGGCTTGGTTTGGCTCGAGCGATTCCAATGTCAACGGGCAGCAAACTCATCGACACAAAAATTTATGTCGACCTGTGTGTGTTCTTTCATTTTAATAATTGACTTTCTGTTAATTGTAAATATACCGTTGAATCGCGGCATAATCGAATATGCTACATTTTAAACATTATATCATCATATTATATATATATAAAATATATATATATATATTATATATATATATATTTATATATATTTATATATGTTATATTCTTAACTCAGAACCTAAAATTCAAGGCGGCTCGATCATCATGTACGTGTGCTCGCGTGCATATGTGTTCATTCACGTTCGTTCATTTCAGTTTATCTAAAAAGCGAAGGCGATATCTGTTTTTATTTTCTTTCCTTTTTTTCTTTTTCTTTTTCTTTTTTTTTCTTTTTCTTCTTTTTATTTTTTTTTTTGCACGAATTTGTTGAGGAAATAACGAATACCGCGATGGACTAGGTTCGGTTAAGTAACTTTGATCATTTAACCCGATTTCTTTGCCTAACATGATTTTCTCTCTTTCTCTCTCTCTCTCTCTCTTTCTCTCTCCTTCTCTTTATTTCTTTTTCTGTCGCTTATTCGGCATACGTTCACGTGGAGGATCAAGGGCAGCGATTTTATCCTTCGTTGAGTACTCGCCGAAGTCGGATTAGCGTCGTCGACGTGAGCACTCAACACTTTATTCCATCGTCCTCGGACAAAAACGACAACGTCAAAATTTGTTATGTTAAGGATAAAGTGAATTTTCAGACGTGCATTTTTCGAAGAGATCACTCAAACGCATTACCTTTGATAATGCGTTTTAAAATATTTCGTATAACAACTCGTCTATTAACTCTCTCTTTGGCTGAAAGGACATCTCGTTAATATGAGAGAAGTCGGAAAACGAATGATAGCTAGACGGATTACTTGGCCGCCACTTGATGTTCCACGTTACTAGTCTCTTTCTCCTTCCGTTTTCATTTCTTATTATTCATATCAACGAATATGATAAAAAATTAAATTTTACTAAACGCGATTGCCTAGAAGAATAGTCGACAGCCAAAAGGAGCTGCCGAGAACGCACTACGGCCGGCCGTGGACGCGATCGACCAAAGTTATCTAATCGTCGTCGATTCATCGACATTGCGACGTATTTTACTTTTTAAATACTTAAGATCAACGATACTCTACGATGTTCATTATAGTGTCTCTCTTTCTCTTTTTCTTTCTTTCTTTCTTTCTTTCTTTCTTTCTTTTCTTTTCTTTTTTCATTCTGGTTCTTGATACTTCCTTCTTCCTCTCCTGTCGAGAGACGTCGTGATTATCGTGAGAAAAAAAATTTTACTATTGGTACTACCCCCTTTCGTACATTCGTTATGTATATGCGTATGCACGAACGATAGGTTTTCTAGCGACCAAATCGAACACCCCCATGGATAAATTTATCAAGGCGGTTTAGACGCATATAGTTCAATTCAGATCGATGATACTCGTGAAAATGGAAGGTCTGATAGGAAGCGAATCATCGAATAGTTTTTCGATAGTGATCGAGAAAGTTGGGGGGGAAAAAAAAAAGTCTTCGAGAAAGTTATCGTATCGATGAGATTCTAAAGAAAGTAACAAAACTCGAACGGTATGGTAGGAACAATGAATAACAAGTGGAATGCAATTGTACATGTGCAGTATAGAGAGAAACTTTGTATTTTGCGTTTGTAAAATACTTAATGTGTCTTAATCTGCCCTTTACTTCGTCACTATCCGAAACTCATCGAAGGTAACGCGTATTATAAGTTCGAAGTAGGATGGGGGCGGTCGATCTTACTCGCAGTATAGCAAACCTAAAAGACTCCTAAAGAGACTGTCAGGCGGCTTCGCTCTTACAGAATATCGAGGTTGAAGCCCGCCGTGGAGTCGAGCGAGTTAAGCAATTCTTGAGCGCTGAAGTTCGATGTGTCTCCTGCGGGAAGATTCTCCAAAAATTCGAGACTAAAGTCTGCCGCTGCCACGGAAGGATCCGTGGTCGTCGGCGGTGGTTGGGTATGTTGCTGGCTAAGGCTACGTACTCCTGGACTCCCAGCACCGTATTGCTGATGAGGATGAAGCGGAGAGGCTGAAAAAGGAAAATAAAATCGTTCGTTCCAATTTTCATTGTCATACGAATTTTTCAAATGTAATATTATTTAGATCTTGAAAAAAAAGAAAAAAAAAAAAAAAAGAACAAAAAAAAAGAAAGAAAAAAAACTTACCCGTGCCTGTACTGCTAACTGAGTTAACGGTAGACGATTGTGACATTTGCATCTGTAGTGACATCTGATTATTATTTTGCTGCATAGCCAATGTTTGTTGCTGGTGTTGCTGCGAAAGTAACTGCTGCATTTGAGTGCTGTTGGTTATTCCCGAATTAGCGATACCACCGCTTTGCGAACGTATCAATTGCTGATGCTGCATCTGCGCAGCGTTTATCTGCATACCACCAGCACCGCCCATTCCAAAACCACCTGAAAAAAAAAAGCAAAAGGATTCGATTATACGATATACGGTAAGAAAAATACGAGAGAGAGAGAGAGTGAGAGAGAGAAATAAAGGAAGGAAGAAAAAAGAGAGAGAGAGAGAGAGAGAAAGAAAGAAAAAGAGACAGAACGATTACATGCAATAACGTTTTAAAGTAAATGCAGTTAGTGCTTACCTTGGTGACTCTGCTGATTGAATTGCGATCGCATTTGAGCTTGAAAGCCTTGCTGCTGCATTAAAACGTGTCTCCATTCTTGCTGTGCTCCACGTCCAGCGATACTATTGCCAAGACCATCCGGAGGTCCTACACTGACGTTCGGCGGCCGTTGATTGTTGGTCCTTGGATAACCCAATCGCTGATGCATTTGATGCATACCGCTTATTGCGGCCATATTACCGCTGCCCATATACATGTTACCACCGGCCGCGTGCAATGCCTGCTGTTGCTGTTGCTGTGCCATTTGTGGCCTCATCATTGGACCTACATTAACAAGAATTGAAATTTATCATATTTTTTTTGTACAGTTCATCCTTTATTTAATCTCAATAAATTTCTAATACGACGAAAAGTTTCAAAAGGACGAAACTTATATTTGGCATCGTGCTGGCATTTGTTAAAGCTATTCTATTCAAAAGTCGTATTCGTAAAATTGGTAGGATGATATTTTATACACTTTGCCTCGTAGGAGGAGATTTCACGAAACTTGCTTCGGCCAGATCGATAAGAGCCTTGTGGAGGAAGCCACCATAGTGGATAAGGATAGTTTCGAATGTTACTTTCTCTCTCTCTCTCTCTCTCTCGCTCTCGCTCTCGCTCTCTCTTTCTCGATTTTACATGTATACGCGTCTCGCTTTTCTGTATCTACCTGAACTAACCAAGACCAAATAGAACAACGGCACTGAACTCATTTGCGTCGAGCTGTACCACTGAATGTTTAAATCAACGAAAATACTGTAATTCCTAACAATACGACGAGACTTTTGCTATTAAAGATTACATCCCTTCGTTGTCCGCGGAGGTCCCCCTATACTCTTACAGATACCGAATGCATAAATATAAAATTTAAATTTGCTAATACAATTACTTTGAGATTACTTTAGAGCGTAAAATTTCCACTTGATGCAAGAGACACAGAGAGGTACAGAAGATTTCCAATGAAATTTACGTAAGCCCTTTCTATTCGTGTGCACATAGCTTTGGAGATTCTTTCATGAATCTTTTTCGAGCGCCGAGGAAGAACGATTCTCATTAACTTGAGCGCGTTGAAGTGTTACGTTTACGGATATAAAAAGGCTAGGGAAAGGATAGGAAAAAGGGAAGATTCCCGTTTGATCCACCTAGGGGTGGAGAAAGGTACTACATAATCGACTGACCGATGCTAGTCTCTTTGGTAAGAGACCACTCGCGAACTAAGAACCATCACCGTGGAAAGAGCGTTTCGAGCTTTGGCTAAGGATGAAAGAATCAATAATAGGGACGCATTCTCATTACCTTGAGTGCCTTCTAACTCTGGCTGGACGCCAGTACACACGAAAGTGACGTATGGCCGGTACTTTTAAGGAAAAAGAGGAGGAAGACGATGAAACAAGAGAAACGCAACCCAAAAAAAAAAAAATTAATAATAATAAAGCAAAAGATAAACATAAGCTATATAAGAGAAACTCAACCGGCTTGATATCGGTTTTGTGTAAAATAAAAAAATAAAAATAAAAAAAAAAAAAAACAAAAAAAACAAAAAAACAAAAACAAAAAAAAGAAAGAAATAAAGATCTACGCGTCCTGGTGAATGGTTGTTTCTCTTCTTCGATCTTTTTATCAGGAAAAGAAATATCTTTATTCTTTTGAAAATGTAAAGATCTCAATCGGTCGTCGTTTCGTGATTTTTTATTTTCCTTAACGACAGGTCGTCGATATTTCAAGTCGCATTATGCAACAGGTATCTCTAAACGCTAAGGAAACGTTCGATGCGTCGAACTTTACTAGTAGCGATCGTCGAAAGGATGATCGTTAAAAAATCGTCTAATCGTGCGAATCAGTGGTTTGCTCGTTATAGAGAGACGTTAAACGTTCTTAGCTTTCTCTCAAAGAAATTACGTGGCAAAGCCACGTTGTGATTACCGTTTGCGATAAATAAATGAACGTTGGAAAATTATAACTCACCGGAAGGTGGCATCGGTTGCTGTGTAACTCTCCGCATAGGTCCAGGGTTTGGAAATCTTGCTTGTTGACCCATTCCGATACCAGCGTGCATCATTTGCGCTTGAGCCGCGGCTTTGTATTCCGGTGGAGGTGGCCGTACACCTCCCATCCCTCCTGCCATATGCTGTTGCTGTTGCATCACCTGTGATTATAAAAAGGAAACAACATCGGATCAGTAACGATCGAAGACAAGTTAACACGATATGCCATATATAGAACGATCGCTTTCTCATGCAACGGGAAGAGAACATAAAGACGGTCAAAGATACGGTTCCCGTATCACGCCATATTTTCTACACTTTGCAAAACTTACAGGAAATACGCTTCATCCGCTTCCGAAATTTGAAAGGTTCGTCGTCGTCATTTCGAAAGTGTCACAAGAAAAAAAAAAAAAAAAATAAATAAAAGAAAAGAAAAAAAAAAAGAAAAAGAAAAGAAAGAAGAAAGAAACAGAAAGAAACAAAGAACCAAAAGAAAAAAGAAATGTAACATACATTTCAAGGATTAAGAATGAAAAGACTCTTTAACGGAGAGAAAAAAAAAAGAGAGAGAGAGAGAGAGAGAGAGAGAGAGAGAGAGAGAGAGAGAGAGAGAGAGAGAGAGAGAGAGAGGGTGTTCCTTCGTGAAACTTTTCGATACGCATCGACGGACGGCTCTCCATGTTACGTGGCTCATTGTCATCTAGCTGGTACGAAGCGTTCGAATTATCGTCGTTGCACAAGCCCCTCGCGGATTGCATTTCCATTTCCTGGTGTTACGCCGGCGTAAGCAACGAACTTCTAGCAAGGGAAAGACGTCGGGCAAACGGACCAAGCAAGAGGAAGACTCTACGGAGAGGAGCCAGATACGTTCTTCGTTTTTTCTCTCTTTTTTCCTTCCTTTTTTCCTCTCTCTATCTCTGTCTCTGTCTCTCTCCCCTTTTTACTCTTTCTCGCATCGCCTGTCCTATATATGTATATATATATACATATATATATATATATATATATATATATATATATATATATATATATATATGTATATACACAGTCGACGGTAACGTCTTTCCATTCTCGGCCGAGCAACAACCTGTGATTAACCGAGCAACGCCCTTTTGCTCTCTCGAAGAGCCGCGCCAATGGAGAACGAAGGAAGTCATCCTTAAAACGGGCACGTAGTAATTTCGTATGTGCTTTCCAATTGATTTCTGCGAGAACATCGACGAGTTTTTCTTTGGGTCATCTACAGCCTGATCCTTTCCATTTTGTCAAGAAATAGATCAAGAAGAAATCTTGAATACGAAAACGTTCAATCCATCTTAATGAAGTTTCAAAGTTCTATTTGTCGAGAGTTCAGATTTTGCAATAGGATAATGAATGATAAGGATGAATAAATATTTTCCGACGATCGATACGGATAATCCGAACGAAGTTGAATACTTGCGAATCTACGACGATAGGAGGGCCACCATTATTTCCGATCGGTTTTCGATAATGACGAACGAGTCGAGCTGATTTGGAATTACGCGCGTCCATTTAACATCCGTGGGAGCTTAAAAGTTTCCTACTTCCGTTCGCGTACCAGTGATAATATCAAATATATATATATATAAGTTGCATGAAATGATTAATTAACGCTCAGCATAAAGTTTTAATACGTTTTGATATTACGAAATTATATTTATGCGTGTGATTACAAACGTATGATTACGATTAGAACGAAAGTCTACATTTTTTTTCTATCATTCATAAAAAAAAAAAAAAAAAAAAAAAAAAAAAAAGAAAAAAAAAATAATTTAACGAATTTAAATACTCATAGAAAATTGTATAAATTCGAACACTATTTGTTCGTTATCAACGATAATCATTATAAATTCTTAACATTGAATATCATTATCATTCTATTCAACGAGATCGATTATAAAGCTTTCTTATATGTTTCTAAAATAATAAAATTTGTTCATTGATATGTTGTTAATTTTTATGTCTCTTGATGACCGTTTCTCGATCGCGTGTTCGCATTGGCATGCGTGTTTTTACAGCGTTTCAGCGCGTCCACGTACGGACGAGTAACATAAATGATAGGATAAGAACGAGAGCGAGAAAGAAAGAGAAAAAGAGAGAGAGAGAGAGAGAGAGAGAGAGAGAGAGAGAGAGAGAAAGAGTGAGGAGAAGAAGAAGAAGAAGAAGAAGAAGAAGAAGAAGAGAGGGGTGAATCAAAGAGAAACTCGGTAGTTACGATCTAAGGATGACTAACCAATTGCGTGAAACGTACAATTAGTAACTGGAGCACGACTGGAATTGGCTCTCGTGTACCTTAACATTATTGAGATAATGATCGCGTTACAACTGAGTCATCTGTTAATAAACTATACGGCGAGCGTCCGCGAATGTAACGCGAGAGATATGAGTGGGTGTAAGTATGCTCGGACTGCGCTTCGATTCGTTTCACCATATAATTTTTTTGCCGGTGTATCAGTCTCGTCCTTTTTTTGTTTTTGATATAGATAGACAGTCTTTCGTGATAATTCGTCAACGATGTATTATTCAGGCTCATTTAGGTATTATCCATATTTTATATTAATCGAAGTAAAAACGAGATAAATTAAATTGTTAATATTTGTGAGAATATGACATAAATATCATTGGTCTTGAATACGATGATTAGACAGAGATAGAGAAGTGAAACGAAAGGCGATAGGTATGTGATACGTCCACTTTCCTATTTTTATCGTCTGAGATATCCTAGAGAGTTCTAGAATAACTAACGACTTTATTTTATTTTATTTATGTATATATATATATATATATATATATATATATATATATATATAATAAGATATATATAAGCGAATGTCAACCACCGCACGGCCTCATTTTACGATTTCTTCTCGAACTATATGTACGTTAATAATACATCGTCCGAACATTTTCTCTTCTAGTCAATAATTAGAAAATAAAATGTTTATCTCGATGTTTCGTTACTACGTATATTTCGTATATATTTTTGTCGAGCCAATACTCTCTCGTTAATATTATTATAACATAATAAATAGGTATCTTTTTAGTAGAACGTTAAATTTTTCGATCATTATTGAATGCAGATAACGTTTCCTTATTTCTAAATGATCGTAAAGAATCAAATTAGCTAAATTGACCGAGTTGAAACGTCGAGTTTAGATACGACGGATCTATTCCATTTTTCAAACGAAAAGGATCCATTCCTTGTAACGTCTACTATCTTCTGTTCGTCTTTAAGAAGCCACCGTGCAGCTATTTGTGTCGTTTCTTTCAGGATACAAAAGATACAAAAGTTGGAAAGCCTCTGTTGATACCTGTTGCACATCAAGAGGAACATCGCGAGAACGGATTCAGCCGTTGCATTCGGATTTAATGTCTCGGATAATGCGAGGTCTGCTAGATCGTGCCACGATTCTTCTCGGCTGTTTAATAATCAAACAGTTTTATTTTACCGAGAATTATTTTGAAAGAGAAATAATCCGAATTAAGAAAAAGTCCGTTTCGATTATTGAATCAATTCAAGTGTAAAGGGGACGAAGATTGGCGTATAAAAAAAAGAAACAAACAAATAACAACAAAAAAAAAAAAACAAAAAGAAAAACAAAAATAAAAGGATTTATCCAAGTTACCTGCTGAGCGCGCATCAGTTGCTGTTGCTGAAGGATTTTGGCATGTTGATGTTGGTCCACTTGATTTGGAGGGACCTGCTGAGGATGACCACGAGCACCAGTGGCAGCACCAGCTTGCGGAACGCCACCAGCCGCCGCAGCAGCGGCGGCTGCTCTCTGTCTCAGACTTTGCTGAGTGAAGTTAATGGTCTGAGATTGAGACACAGAGCAGTAAGTATCCGCTTGGCCGGGTCCTGATTGATTGGGTGCCTGTTGTTGATTAAAGTACATGCCCTGCTGAGCAGCCACGGATACTCCAGGTTTCAAATCTCCTGTAAGCTGCATATGCTGCCCCGCGGATACCTAAAATCAAAAAATTATTCATCATACAATCATGATTCCCATGCAATTTTCATTATCTTTCTTTTCCCTTTTTTTTTTATTTTTTCTTTTTCTCCTATTCCTTTTCTCCCCCTCGTATGGTCGTATTTCTAAAGCGATATCTCTTCGAGTACGCCATTTTTTCAATGTAAATCGGCACACTTTACATATCCATGTTTACCGTCTTACAGAGAAGCGAAACTTTCCTATGCGTCGTCTATCCCGAAAAATCGTAAAACAGATCCCAGCCAGGAATAAATATTTTACGAGTACCGTGCGCACGTCGATAGCTCTATCCGGAATCTCATTTAAATTCTTGATCTCTTATTATTGCGCGTCGTTGCACACGTGATATCCTTTACGTCGCGCATGGTTCACGGTCTAGGATAGAAGATCGGATCGCGAACTTTCGATCGAACCTTGCCGGTTCCTTCTCTCCCTCCTCCTCCCCTCTCCCCGCCCCTCACTCCTTCTCCCTTCGTTTCCAGACATCCAGCATCGCCACGGGCGGCCAAGAATTTAGTTTCTGAAAAAAAACGTCGGACAAGTGGCGACTATTGTCCTGTCTCGTTCGCTCGTATCGTAGGCAATGATACGAAATGGCTACCGTTCCCCTCTATTTCATTCGTTCGTAGAGAGACGAAAGGGGAGAAGTTCGGGGATGTGCTTGAACTGCTTTAAGAAACGGAGAGAGAGAAAGAGAGAGAGAGAGAGAGAGAGAGAAAGAGGGAGAGAGAGAGAGAGAGAAAGAGGAGGGGGAGGAAGAAAAGACACAACCCACACCACGAGCTTCGTGTCCTGCGGATGACCTTTACCCTGGCTGATCGAACCGTCGTAATCTAGTGCGAGTTTCTATCTTGTGTGTATTAGTACGAGCCTGCGATAAAATATTCCAAGAAAATAGGAGTGAAAGCTGTATAATCGAAAGCGTGAGGATTTATTTTTACGCTTGATTAGATTGGAATAAGTCCAAAATTATTTCCTATCCGTGCCTTTGGCAAGATGAGAAAGACACGTTTTAACGTTTATAAATCGTTTACTTTCTCTTTACTAAACAGCACCTTTTCTATTTTGTGTTATTGGTTATTTCACAGTACGAGTTTAAGAACTAGTACATACTTCGTAATCTCTATTGTATTTACTGCTTCCTTCTATTAAACCATGATTCATAACGATAAGCTATGCGTCAGTGAGTCGTGATCAACGTTATAAACTTTATCGTTCTTATCTAATTCTATCCCCTACGTAATTATTAAGCCTTTTTTATCCCTTAAAAATAGTATTATCCGTTTTTTCGTATCACGTGATTATTATGATTATCAAATTGTACAGAACAAATATACACACACACACACAAATATACATATATTATAAAGTTGTCAAGGGACACGATATGAGTCCGAAATAATGTTTATTCATTTATTTTTAATGAATCATGATCGGAAAAAATCGTAGCCATTTGTAAAATAAATCAGAAGCATCGAATAATAGGAGCGTGCGACATTTCTCATTGACCTCGAACCACTTATCGGTTGTCTCCGCTACTCCTTTGTTCGGGCACGCATAGTATGGAGATCGACGAGGTGGTACCGCAGTGGTGCGACTTTATTATAGCAAACGACTTATGGTTACAGCGGTTGCTAAAGTGTCACAAGGTCTTGTATGAACGCATCGTATACGATATATACGAGAGGAGTTCGTATAATATATCTAAGCTACGAGTGTCAATCACGAATATCTTCGAAGATAGACCGATCTATTTCGTTTAGCATCATTGAAGAATTTATTTAACCCATTGAATGACAATTTTTAATTTAATCTACGATCTAACTGTTAACAATTACTAACCAAAATATTTTTCCACGATCATTTTAACATTTACAAATTGGGACCTTTTTATTTTCCCCAATTTAATGCAACTTACATAAGTAATTATAAGATTATTCGTTCGCGGATGTACGATATAATCGGAAAGAGGAAAAATAATATCAATTATAAGAAAGAGTATTTATATTACTTTTGATTAGTTTTTCCTTTTTTTTTCTTTTTTATTTTTCCTTGAATTTTAAGCAATAATTTCATCGATAAAATTCGGTATGAGGTATATTATTTGATAAGAGTAAACTAATCGAAGAACGAATGTTTCGAAACAACTTTATTTTTATTTATGTTTCTTATAACTGCCTCTCTCTCTCTCTCCCTCTCTCTCTCTCTTTCACTCTCTTTCTTTCTTTCTTTCTTTCTGACTTATTATTCAATATTTCCATGACTTTTGGGAGGGCAGTAGCACGAACATTCCAATGCGCAAGCGAAACGAATGCATCCTGTCACCGTTTTCACGAAGATCTTCATTACGGTAATTAGAGAGCTCCACAACCCCACGAGCTGACCTCCCGTTTCGACCACTCTCTCGAATTCTCTCGAGCGCGCGCAGTTATTCGTATCATTCCTATACTGAAAATAGTGTGTTGGTAGGCGTCGTTCCATCATTGGAATAAATATATATATATATATATATATATATATATATATATATATATATACACATATGCAAATATATACGTAAATACATCGAAGAAGAAAAGGGAATTACATAGACAGATCCAGTCTAATATGTGATTATGTACGAGTACGTAATATGTGAGTAGCTATGTAGTGAGATTTTCTTATGTAAGTCTATATACGCTTGTATACGTACACATATATATATATATATATATATATATATGTATATATATATGCCTGTTAAAGTAATGCTGGAAGTGTACGACAAGGTAATGTGTACGCGCATGCGACTTACGTTCAGTCATGAAAATTTGCGCATGTGTACTGGAGCGATATCTATACAGGGTGGATAGCGTTGTAAAGAGAGCATAAGCGACACTCGCGTATGCGAGCGGCTACGCGACGTATGTATGTACGTTCATATATATATATATATATATATATATATATATATATATATATGTATATATAAGTTAATACTTAATTGATACGTTCTCGTAGAAGAATGATTGAAGAAATTTTATATTTATATGACCTTTATAAATAGATACCTATATAATCATTTAATAAGATATTTTGAAATAACTTTATCGATTATTTTTTTTTTTCAAATGTAAGAAAATAAATGAATCAGAACAATAATATTGTAATTATTTACGATTCTTGAATAATGCCAAATAGAAATTTGATGTATACGAATGCAAGTAAACACGTACACATTGTATTTTCACTGAGAGATAGAGAAGTATTAGTAACAGAGAAAGGTCGACGTACATGGCGCGCGTGCGGTTTACACGTTTACCGAGGCAAGAGCCCTCCGGAAGGGCATATAGTTACAACTGTGTAGGAGAAACCTACTCGTCCGGTCACGCATAATTAGCCTAAATCACGCTGCCGTCTAGTCGGGAACTCCGTTGTGTCGCGACATCTGCGAAGCACGTGTCTCGTTAGTTCGCCCTTATATGGATTAGTTGCAAGCTTTTTGGCAAAATCTACCGCTTTCAATGCAGTATATATCGCGAATAAGAAGAGAAAAAAGGTGTAAAGGTGTCATTTCTAACGATCGAACAACAACAACAACAACAACAACAACAACAACAACAACAACAACAACAATAATAACAATAGTAATAACAAATAATCATTATTTTATTAATTTTAGAATGGATAGTTTTAGAGAAATATATCTAATGTATCTATTAATCATATTATTTCATATAAAGTACGCATGAATAATTTTGTATTTATTTTTAATACCTTTTTAATTAAATTACAAGTAATATCAAATAAATTTCATATAATTAATTAATTGTATTCAACATTAAAGTATACAAGAAAAATAAACGACATTATATTTATCATAAAACAAGGCTCGTAATTAGATTCTATCGAAATCTATCGATCGTGTTGAACGCTAATGCCTAATAAATTCTTACTGCAGACTACATGTACGCGATACGAGAGATCAATATGTTGAACGTAATTACTATCTTTGTTACTATAGAACACTAGGTGGGTCTTGCGTATATCGGTTGATCGATCCGCTGGTAGAAACACTTTCATGAAATTTCCACCTTGTAATACGGTCTTCGAAGGAGAAGTTTAAATACATCTACAAAATCTCTTACTTTAATTAATCCACTTGTTTTATTATAATTTTCACATTCAATTTCACATTAGATTAGAAAATTTCAATATGGCGCCTATATATTTCGAATATGAAAAATCTAATATAATTCGTATAATAAAATCTATATATAAATCTATATATATATATATATATATATATATATATATATATATATATATTTAATTAAGGAACAAACGATAATCATATTGTTTTTTTTTATTATCGATTAAATATCAATCATCGATTGACGAGTATATATTTTATGTTTGCTCGAGTTTATCGTTTCGACGAATGCAAATAGTATTTACGTATATAAATATCATGGAAGGATGGAATAACGGGGCACAAAATGGAACCGATTTCCAAAGGGGGAACGCTCTCGAAGTCGAAGCTATAGAGTAGTAAAACGGAGATGGAAGCAAAGCTAATGTAAGTATAAATCCCTCGTTATTAGCATATTGCCGTGGAGAGTCCGAGTGGGGCCACCGTCGTCGTCGTCGTCGTCGTCGTCGTCGTCAACGACGCACACTCGGTCGCACGATATCTTGCTATTTGAACGGCTACGTGTTTGCTAGGCACGCCGCGTGCAGGCGTGGAATCGCATTGTAGCTAATATCACGATGTGGTAATCGCTAATCATAGCGCTTCTACTCGAGGTGCTCATTCCCAACCGGCATCCGATCAAAACGGAAATCATGTTAACTTCGATGAAGAGAGCTTCGTATTCGTTAAAAGGTACTATATCAACGAAAAGGAATTAAGCCGACGGCGTTTGCTGCTAAATTTCTTTTCTACAAACCAACCAAGCAAGCAAGCAACCAACCAACCAACTAACTTATCTACCTAT